CTAGCACGAAACCTAGGTCCAAGGCTTCCTGCCGATTGCTTCCAACCATCTAATATCATCACAGGTATACATTCAGTTTTGGTGGTAAGATACATTCACTTATAAAGGACAGTTTGAAGAGGAAACTGAAAACCTATTCTTCTAAAATAGCCAGCATTCGATTATAAGAATCTGCACAGACTATCCATTTTGAGTTGGAATTTCACCATCACTTGTAGGTGTGAATAGATTTTTCCTATTCTCACCACATAGTATCCATTCGTCTTTTCAGCTATACTCTTCGCGTTATATTCCCAGACAGTTTCATCAAGTTTCACCTCCTGTCACAGAGAAACGGAGCTGTGAAGATTCGTGTGTTTTACTTTTCAAGATGATTTTATGTGTATATTTACCCGCTAAGTAAGCCTCATCAAACCTAGTGACGAGAACACCTTGGTATAGAATCAAAATGGAATTTTTATTCTCATATGAAAATTCAATCTTTGAATATATTAGCCTTAATCTGTTATCCAAATTGATAGTCCTATTGAATATAACTGCGTCATATACGTAATATACATTTTAAGTGAGTAGCTTTATGACGTCGGTGGCACGGAGGTAGAACGCTCGCCGACCATGCATGTGCTCCAGGGTTCTATCCCCGGCTGGCGCACTCCTTAGATTCTCTGAGCCAGTAATAAGACTGGTAAAGAGGGGAGGTTGGGCATGAGGTTAGCAACCCCATCCTGTAAAAACAGACCCTGCCACAGAAACTTCAAGCGTCTAGCTTGAAGCCCTATGTTCCACCGGAAACGTGAAGGAACAAAAACAAGCCTTATGACCTTAGTCTTCTATTCGGGAAATTAGGTATGAGTAAGTCGTCAAGTATGTTTTCTGAGTGACAAACTGACTGTTACTCCGGTTGTCTATCTGTACAGAAATCATACTGTCAGACGAAATTGAGGATTTATGGTACTACATAACATCAACGCATTCAATAAATATTTTACTCCTGATGACAAATTATTGAACAAACTCAACTAGTAAATTTCATGTACTGGTTTTGTAGGAATTTTTGTTTGATTCGTAAAAGGATTTCATCATGAGCTGACATCAGTTAGAGAACCATTGGAATTCGGGCCATTGGACTGGGTCCCGGTGACTTAATGGTCTACGGGCTAGCCTTGTAACCAGTAGGTCCTGGATTTGAACCCAGGTGGGTGTGTACCTCAGGTTTTCCAATGGTTCTCCAACCAATATCAGCACATGATGAAATCCTCCAACCAGTCAAACAACTAGTAGTTTTCAATAACTGAAAGTTTGAGGATAGTGATGTGAAATCCAGCGACTGCCTCAAAATTAATCTATACATTTAATGATACCTCAAGAGTTGTACTTAGAGCAGCTTTCCTCTACTATTTCTATTAATTAGAAATACCACTTTGTACAGAATGGTATGATAAATAGCTCTAGCTTTAATGGAGTGTATTTTTTCTAGGAATTTCAGGAGTATCATAAAACCTAATCACATTATCTTTTCCGTATCTCATCAGCTCATAGAGTTAAATATTACTTGTCCTGGTTCTATACATTTATGGGATTAGTTGTTTTTCACCCTTTCATACTACTTATATCCACGGTCCTTTCCATGTTTTGAGAATCAATTATTCTGCTCAAAATTATTTTTATTTTATTTATGCATTAAGTTTATTCAACATAACCGTACCAATACCTACATTTGGTTGGATAGTTATTAAGTTCTATCTGGGTTTCATTTATTTGGATGTTTCTTGTTTCCACTTGAATTTTTGTATATAATGGTACCTTTTTCAACTAACTAGAAGAATCAAAATTAAATCTGCAGTTACTTGTCTATCTGGAAGCAATAGATCTACTGTTTGTCATAAGGTTCTCACAGTCGATCTCATTTCTGAAAACGGAACACTTTATAACTTACAATATCAGCTTTAAAACCAAGAAATGCAACTTTTGTCTAATAAAGCACTGGGATAGTTGAGTATGTAACACTGAAGTAAGGTTTTACTGACCATTCTGATAAACGAATCTCTAGCTGGCTGCTTTTACATTATCAAGTATTGGTTTGTAGGGATTTTGTTCGATTGGTTGGGGGATTTCATGATGAGCTGACATCTGTTAGAGAACAATTGGAAAACCTAGGAGTATTGGATAGCTGTTTCGTCCTTGTTTGGAACTCTTCACAGTACGCAACCACATTGCGGAGTTCAAACCCAGGACTTTTGGTTACAAGGCGAGCTCGTAGACTATGGTATGATAGTACTGAATATTTACTCAGGTTCTTTTATTATAACATATCCAATTAGTGTGGTGGTGTGATACAAACAACGGGTTCCAACGGAATATTATTCTCGCAGTAAGAATCATTGTATTTGTTGGTGTTAACGTCTGAATAGTATTCCCACAGTTGAATAGTGCATTAGCGCCAGAATGCTATGTATGTTTGAACATTCTATTTCATGTCGTTTAAAGTAAGCCAAAATCATAAGCTCAGTGATTGGTTAAAGAACATAAACAGTATAGATATAAATAGCTGTTTGATCACTTGAAATTATACCTTGGCTTACGTGTCTCGCCTTCTGCTGTCACACTAGTAACGTGGAAATACAATTTTTAATTGACCAGCAGTCTGAAATTTACAAGCGAGGATGGGAATGGTTAAGCTATGTTGAAAAAAAGGAAAGAGATAACAGATTTTTATATTTTCGCAGTTTCATGATTGTGCCGAAAGATTCTGTAAGGAAAGTGAAAAATATACTTGTTACCTTATCAACATAATATGATTTCAACAAGCACAAGTTCACTGCCAATATTTCGACTTGTTAACGTCAATAGGTGCATCGGTGGCACAGCGGTATAATGCTTGCCAACCACGCATGTGGTCCGGGGTTCATCCCTGGTCGACACACTCCCAAACCTCGCTAAGCCAGTAATAAGACCTGTAAAGAAGGAAAGTTGGGCACGAGGCTAGCAACCCTATCCCGTAAAAATAAAAACCACTACTACCGAAACGTCAAGCATCTAATTTGAAGACCTATGTTGCACTGGGAACTTACAGGAATAAAAAAATGGGTGCATTCAGTGTTAGTTGTTAATATATATATCTCTGGCAGCCCGCTTAACCAGCTGGAGTACTTAAATTCCTATCCAGCATAATGTCATAGAGGATTGAGTCATTTCAGATAGAATGATATTGTATCCTACAATATACTGTCGATAATTATTTACTTGAAGAGTCTATGCGGGGAGTAAATATTTTTCGAGGAATTATGCTGAGACATTCGCATCGCGTTTATACATAATTTCCGGAATAAAGCTTATATTTCATTGATCTCAAGAGTGATCGCAACATGACTTCATTTAGAGAATGATAGAAAGACAAGCAGTGATCACTCTTGAAATAAATTAAATCCCTACAAAATCAATACTTCAAAGTTAGTTAGTCTAGTGCTCATTATTGACTCACTACAGGGTGAAGTAACCTGACGTGCAAGTGGGAAGTAGTGATCAGTTTGGGCCACCAATTTGGATGTGTTGAGAAATACTCGCCAATCACACTGGTTGTCAGTGGTGCTATATATCACTAATTGGCGAAAGTTTGACGTCACGAACCATTGGATCAAGTCGCAGTGGCTGTATGGTCAACGAACTCAACTTGTAACCTGGAGTTACTGAGTTTGACCATTGATGGAGTGATGGGTACATCTTAGTGAGAAGTCTCAAACAAGGACAAGGCAGCTTTCTAGTAGTCCCTGGTCTTAAATGTCTGTTTAACCAAAATCAGTTCGGAACCAATCTTCAAATATGATGTTATTATATTCCGTTTGTATATTTTGGTAAGTTACTTTATGCATTTTATCAAGAGGCTTACTGTAATTCAAGTTTTAAAATGTACTTGGTATGGATTTGGAAGTCTCACTAAACGTCTGCTTTGTAGTTAGTTAAGATCTTTGGACTGTTTTGATTATGCGTCAGACAGTGGGAAATGAGAAGACAGGGATATCCTGGAATGACCTGAAGAACCTAGAAGACCTGGATTTCGCAGATGACTTATGTTTGATGTCACACAAAATCGAAGACTTACAAACGAAAACCGACAAACTGGTCGAAGAAGCAGCAAAGACAGGACTCCAGGTGAACATACACAAGACAGAGGTTATGAAAATAACCAACCAACCAACAACAAGAGCAGCAGCAACATCCAGCGCTAATCACCATCAACAGGAGGGATTTGAAAGAGGTTACTTCATTCACTTATCTAGGGAGCATTGTCTCAACTACAGGAGGAACGGTCGAAGATGTCAAATCGAGAATTGGGAAGGTGAGAAACACATTCATCAACCTGAAACCAATCTGGAAATCTTCGTCACTCAGCATCAACAACAAAATTCGGATTTTCAATACAAACGTCAAGTCAATTTTGCTATACGGATCAGAAACTTGGCGGGTTACAAGGAATATATCAACAGCTGTCTTCGCTCTATACTCAAGATTAGATTAGATCGCCGGAAAGAATCACCAACAAGAGACTATGGGAGCAAACAAAACAAGAACCAATCGCTCAACAAATATGCATGAGAAAGTGGAGATGGATTGGACACTAGCAGAGGAGGCCGTTGGGTGACATCGCGCGTCAGGCCAACGCTCGAGTGGAACTCGAAAGGGAAGCGGCGAGTGGGACATCCAAGGGTGACATGGAGGAGATCGTGTGAAGAGGAGTTGAAACAGCATGGAGTAACATGGATGCAAGTGAAAAGTTTAGCAGAAGACAGAAGCAAATGGAGGCGTGCAGTTGAAGCCCTATGTTCCACTAGGAACCCAAGGGAACAATAATAATGATAAATAATTTGGACTGTTTTCATTATTCAATGAACACTTACCACCCTTAAGTTATACATTTATCTTATGTTTTCATAAAGTAAAAGTACTATTATTGTTTCGCATTATCGTTGTTATGATTCATTTTAATTTCCCTCTCTTTACAGTTTATTTTATCATCCGACTACATCTGCTGAACATTGATCAGTCTGTCAACAATGAATATTTTAAAAAAGACAATGAAAAGAAAGCATTATTCACCTTCCATCATGAAATCACTGTATAATTTAAAATTGTTCATTGCCTCACTGTTGTGTATTTATTCAATTAACTCGCCTAAATGTTGTTATGCCTATTATCAGCTAGAGTCTAATAATCATTTGTCATCAGGAAAGAGTAATTTAAGACCTGAAGAACTTTCTGGAAAGAATTCAATCAGTGAATTACACAATTCAGAAAATCATGAACAAAATTATCCAGACTATATGAAACATGATGTTGCACCAGATAGCCATTTAATGTTGTCATCGTTAAATGATGTATTATCTCATTCACTGGCATCCTCGTCCTCCATGTCATCATCGTCATCCTCATCTGGAATAGATGCATCACCTTTGTCATCCTCATCCTCTTCATCCTCTTCATCATCATCAGTGAATCATGAAGAAGTCGAAACACATCGATGTGAACCTATTACATTGATATTGTGTAAAGGAATGTATTATGAGTATACAAGATTACCGAATATGTTTCATCATGAAACACAAGAAGAGGCTGGTTTAGAAGTAAGTCTTTCGCATTCCTGGAGATTTTATAAAATTTCTTTAATTCTAATAACTGAAATATAAGTTTCAGAGTGTTGTCCATTTATCAGAAACTGAAGTTTTAATATCTCTGTGGACCCATTGTTTGGATACGTCTTTTAAGAAACCGTATTTAAAACACATTTCGTGACGAACCAAGAAGCGCTAAACAACTGCCTTATTTTAACCAGGAACTTCTCAGCAGAGCCCACTCATGAAAGTACTAAGATGAATACATCTACCAGTCAACCAGATAATTGGAAAGCAATAAAGCATGCATTCTAAGTTCCCGCCTTTGTCCTCAAATTGACACTGCCAACAAAAGTCATCAGTCAGCATCTGTCTTTAGCTGTCTAGATCTTCTCAGGTTTCATTGATCCTCTAACTGATTATTGATCGTGATGAAGCTTATTCTGAGTTTATTCAGATCCTTACAAATCTAATAACTGAGAAATAATTCGAATCTTCAAGAGAATGTAGTTTTGCTCAGTGACATTCATATGTCTTGTCGAAAAATGGTCACAAGTATGAAATCAAGATCCACACCTCTATGATGAATAACTCCCAATATTTAAAATAAGCTAGCTGACAACATCTATATGCATATATCAGTTTACTTGTTTCTGCAGAGATAAGATAAGAGATCGTGCCAGTAAGATATTGTCTAGACGTATACAAGAACATCTCCCAATATGATTGGGGAATGGAGAAATGAGAAGAATCAATAAATCAATTCTTTAGAACCTTTTTCGGTAGAAAAATCCCTCAGAATGATACATAAGATAAAGCCAAGTCGCTCGAACGCATTCCAGTTACATCTTCTGTCGTTATACATGCTAAAATCCTGAACTGTGTATACAGAAGCGGTCTGTTTAATCTTTTTTAGTCCACTGGCCTTAAACTCTTTTCCAACTTGTATAGTAACTTTCTATCTAATCCATATTTATTCATTTTTTTGCTCCGATCCTTTTACTCTTATGGATCTTGTTATGTATGTGAATATGAGGACCTTGTAGACTACGAGCGAATCTAACTAATGCGCTGGCTAATCTGTCTTAATCGCACGTCAACAACATCAACAATAATACCGCCGGGCACACAAGACAAATAAAAGAGAAGACTGGACGTTGATATGAGAGCTTTTACTGTCTCAAACAACAGTCGAAAAATGTTAAACAACAACTCCGTATTTATACAATTAGAAAAATCAATGTCACCTTTTAAAAATATTAACGACCTTGGGGATTCAGTAATTTAAATCAATAATCACGCAGATGCGTGAAATCAATGATTATGCTAATGTGTGAAATAAATAATGAATATTAATGATTCCCCTGCGTATATATTACCTCCCCCTTTTAAAAGGAATCTTGCAATCAGTTTAGTATCTTTTTTCCTTGGGGTCGATTTGGAAATGAACTGTTTGTGTTCGTTTGCGCTGGGATCGTCGGCTGGGTAGCATCTCTTGTTTTGCTTCTGGTTTGACTGGTGGTATTTTGAAGGTTTCCAGTAGTAATTCCAATGGCAATTTAGGTTCTTGGGATGTAGTATATCGACGTCGTATCTGATTTTTATGTCTAATCCACCATTCATCCCCAACTTTAACCTTGTACATTAGAGTTCCATGTCGACGTTCTATCAAGCCTTCGGCCCATTTTCTGTTCCTCGGACGATAATCGCGCACATAGACAGCATCACCCTTGCGGTAATACGTCACACTATTTCTTCGTTGATGTGACGAAGATGGTAACATGGAGTGGTGATGAGTTCGTAGCATTCGACCCATTAGAAGTTCTGCAGGGCTTTTCTTCTGTTCTGCCAGTGGTGTAGTTCGGTATACAAAAAGAAAGTTTTGTATTGCTTCCGGTTTCGCCCCTCCCCCTGCTTTCAACAACGCTCGTTTGAAAGTGTCGACAAATCTTTCTGCCTCACCGTTGGATTGAGGGTGATAAGGTGGCGTCCGCACGTGTTGTATACCGTTTCTCTTGCAAAATTCCTGGAACACTTGTGAGGTGAACTGACTGCCGTTGTCAGATACGATGATTTCTGGTATACCGTGACATGCGAAGATCTTTTCCAGGACTGATACTGTTCTGCTGCTAGAAGGGGGTGTCACTTGTACTACCTCCGGCCACTTTGAGTAAGAGTCCACGAGAACCAAGTAGTATATACCTTCTATCGGCCCAGCAAAATCCACATGTACGCGGGACCATGGTTTTGACGTGGGCCATGCTCTCGGTGGCGGATCTTTGGCTGCCATGACAGACATCACTTTCAGTTTTTGAGCAGAGCCTCTTTTACTGGAGCTAACAGTTGCTACTTTGTTGCTACCAGACATCCAAGCACTTTTGGCGCAGCCATACTCACTATGACGATTCGAAGTTGGTTTTTCATTCTTTCTAATGGGCTTTGGTCTAATATATCTGTCTCTCATTTCTGGCTTTTTTGATGAGGGCTCAATACTTTCGATCTTTTGGCAAACACTGCTTAACGGAATCTCTGACAGATGCAGCTTCTCGAACCAGTCTAAACCCAAGAGGTCAAGGTTTGAATTGTTGATGTAGCATGTGCCGACGAAATGACTATCGCGAAAATCAACGCTGCATTTTATTTCTCCATTCAATCGAAGTCTTCCACCACATGCGCTAATTGCTATCTGATTTGTCTTCTCTATGGCAGGGCATCCCAACTTCTGCCATAATTTCTTTGATATTATTGTAATATCGGATGCTGTGTCGATTTGTAGGCGTGCCGGTCGTGTATTAATCGTCAGGTCGATATATTTGCGAGGTGCCGGAGTACTGATGTGATATGCGGCAGTAACACCCAAAGACTTTGGCTTGTTGCGCCGTCTGGGTCGGTTGTTGCGTTTGCAGTAGCCATCTTTGTGACCAACAGTATGGCATCGACAGCATTTATGCTGTTTGAATGGGCACAAGTTTGCAAAATGCCAGGAGCCACAGTGCCAGCAGGCTGATGGTGGTTTATGCTGAGGATGACGCGGTGCGGTTGATGTCGACGGTACTGGATGCACCGCATGCACTTCCGCTGCATTTTGGCTGCCAGACTGCACCAAGGCGGTATCGTTATGAATGTTGATTAAACGCTGATATTCTTCACCGACGTCTTTCAAAGTCATTCGTGGATCTTGTTCCAGACGATTTAATAGACGTGTGCGTATATCAGCAAATTTGGGAGACTGCAAACCACAAATGAAAATCAACACCTTGAACTGGTCTTCTGAGAGTGATTTCAATTTAAAACGTTCACACGTGCGATTGACTATACCCAACTGAGTATGGATATCATCATTTTCGTTCAGAGATAGTTTCATGCAATGATATCGAATGTTGAATAAAGATCTCTGATCACCGAACTGATGACGAAGGGTATGGACAGTTTCATCGAATGATCTTTCGCTGGGCTTCTGTGGGAGAATTAAGTTGCAATATTTATCCAGCTCATCTGATCCCAATTTACGAAGTAGAAGCCGTACTTTCCAGGCATCATCTTTATCCGCAAAGTCTACTCGAAATAGGTCTTCATATCTGCGAAACCAGGTATCAAATGTTACGTTCGCATCTGGATCATAAACGAATTCTGAGATGCTACTACCAATGCTGTCGTTGGCTGCAGATGAATCGGCAGGGCGTGATATCTGTAGACCAGCAAGCATTTCCATCAATTTTAGCTGCTGTTCCATTAGTTTCTCTAGACGCAGTGGGTCCATCTTCAGCAAACCCGTCGCCAAATTTGTTATGTATGTGAATATGAGGACCTTGTAGACTACGAGCGAATCTAACTAATGCGCTGGCTAATCTGTCTTAATCGCACGTCAACAACATCAACAATAATACCGCCGGGCACACAAGACAAATAAAAGAGAAGACTGGACGTTGATATGAGAGCTTTTACTGTCTCAAACAACAGTCGAAAAATGTTAAACAACAACTCCGTATTTATACAATTAGAAAAATCAATGTCACCTTTTAAAAATATTAACGACCTTGGGGATTCAGTAATTTAAATCAATAATCACGCAGATGCGTGAAATCAATGATTATGCTAATGTGTGAAATAAATAATGAATATTAATGATTCCCCTGCGTATATATTAGATCTCTTACTCTTATCATCATCACTGCTGTTTCTAAACCTCTGCTATTTTAGTGATAATTATTTCTGAGCAATATTCATCTCTCTTAATATTCTTAGATTACGTAAAACTACTTAACCAAGTTTTATAAATTGTTCATTGTCTTTCCTGATAGGTAATTTCATATATCTTTTTTCCTAACTGACACTAGCGATCGACTTTTATAGGCACTTCCATGAGCTACTGGAACATTATGTAACTTTTGATTGGACACAAGTTAGTAACTAAATTCTAAAATTTTGATTATAGCTTGATTCCACACGGTATTTTGGTACAAGTATGGAATTTTCAGCATGTGATATTGGTAGCCCAAATTTAGCAGGCCGACCATAGATATTAGGTGTGCGTCGGCGGGGAGTCAAACCCCGGACCATGTGCATGGTCAGCGACAGTCCTAACCACTGTGCCACCAACGCACAGTCTTTTGCTTGGTGCAGACGGAGTTCTATCAGTCAAGTTTGCAATGTGGCTACCATGCTCAGTGGTAACGTCTCTGACTGCAGCATTGGGTGATGCGGGTTTGAATCTCAGAAGAAGCGACATGAGTCTCTTCAATTTGGTTGCAGATACGCCTTACTGACTGGTGAGTGCCTACGAAACCTAGGTGAAGCAAGGCTTCCTGCTGACTACCTCCACCCATCTAATATCAACAGTAGATGACTTTGCAGCGTTGAAGTGAAGTTTCGGGAAGGAAATCCCATTTTGACGATAGCCACTATATTTCTTTGGTTCTCGTCAGCTGCATACAACCCATAATCTTTAATAAATAAAAGTCAGCATAAAATTTAACATTCTTTTGTCATCAATAAACATATTATGAGAGTGT